AAAAAAAAAAAAAAAAATACTGCTTTATGATTTTTAGTTAACTCCAAATGACATTTATGAAGAAAAGCAGGAAACTAGAACATACTACCATAGGGAGTCAAAGTAACCTATATAGTTTCTGGATTAAAAAAAAACCCTAAAATGCCTAAGAAAGCCATGTTGTTCTGGTTATCTCGGTTTGGAAATTTCTGCTACTCTTATGATTCAAGTATTAAATTTTGGTAATAGTTGAAGATATGCATAATGAAAAAGACGATAAGGATGTTAAGTTTTTGCTATCTCAAATATAATCTCCTTTCTAGTACGAAATTTCCTTTCCTCCCTCCCTCCCTTCTTCCCTCTTTCCATTTCTTCCTTCCTTCCTTCTCTCTCTTTTTCTCTTTCTCTGTTTTCTTCCATTCCAACAGAATCTCACTCTGTCACCTAGGCTAGAGTGCAGTGGCATGATCTCAACTCACTGCAGCCTTGACCTCCCAGGCTCAGGTGATCCTCCTACCTCAGCCTCCTAAGTAGCTGGGACTACAAGCATAGGCCAGCATGTCCAGCTAAATCTTTTAATTTTTTGTAGAGGTGGGGTCTCACTATGTTGCTTAAGCTGGCCTCAGACTCCTGGGCTCAAGTGATCTCCTGTCTTGGTCCCCCAAAGTGTTGGGATTAAAGGCTTGAGCTACCACACCTGATCAAAACTATATTTTCTATGTTCTCGAAAGTATCTAATGTGAATATTGAAAAAATATTGATGACGATGGGGAAGAAGAAGCAGAGCAGCTTAATCTGCTTTAAAATTATACAATAAACAAGGTAAGTGCTTAGTTTTAACATATAGCCGTATTTCCAAAACTGTGACACAAAGATCAGGTAATCTGGTGATTCTCTAGGCTGCTTAGCACTGTTTTGGTGGTGGATTCATATAGTATGAATCCGAGTACAGCCCCAGAGATCCCAGGGACGCTGTGTTTGCCCTAATAGTAGAGTACACCCACATTCCCAGGATTCAATTCAGTACTAAGCAGGTTCCAAATGAAATCAAAAAAGGTTTGTGGAGCTTCTATAAAACATGTCTCCTTTCTACCATGAAATCCACAACTTGTAGCTATCCGGGATCTAGATGTTGAAGTTGCATTGCTAAACTCTAAGAATGATCTCAAGGGCCTGACTCACCTGAAAATTGTTCTAAAGTGCAAGACGCTATGTATTCTAATATGATAAGTAGATAGTGTTGGCTTTAATAGAAATTGTGGGTGCCTTCTCTCTACCTTCTCTCCTAAGGCTCCTCTAACCCACTCTGCCCCTAGGATCAACCAGAACATTCCATTTTATTCTATACCAAGAAGGAATGTTCCCACATAATCTATAAGCTCCACAGAGACATACGAGGCTGCATCTGATTGTAACCCCTAGCATAGTATCTAACCAGAGTGAGATCTCACAAATATTTTTTGAATAAATGAATGAATAAAAGGCTAAAAAAGTGGTTCACAGAACTGAAAGAAAGGTCAGCCCTGTCTTGTAATCACAGCTCTTAGGAGTCAAGCCTCTGGGATTTATATAGCTAGTGACAGGAACTCTGTTTCTGCTGTCTAAACCTAAACGAATCTGGGTAAGTGGCTACAATCAGTTATAGTCTAGGCAATGGGGCAAACACATTCTGAGTCTCCTTGTGGGCTGATCTTTACTGGAATAAATTTCTTATTATTTTTATTTATTTATTTAGAGGTGGGGTCTTGCTATGTTGTTCAGGCTGGACTTGAGCTCATGGGCTCAAACAATCCTCCTGCCTCAGCCTCCCAAGTAGCTGGGACTACAGGCATGCACCACTGCATCCAGAATTACTTTCTTCTAGAGTGATAAAATCTGAGATTCTGGTAGGAGCTTGTGAGGCAAAGGCTGAGTCTTCTTTGGTTCTAGCTAGTGAAATCTACCTAGGCTAGGCACTTCTAGGAGGTACAACCTAGCTCTCTAGAATTCTACAAAGTGACCAAATATGCATTTTCTGGTCAGTGCCCTCTGTGTATATGTATTTCCCGTGCAGCAGAAGAGGCAGTTGGTGGCAGGTAAAATTTAGGAGTTAGAAGCTTTTATTCCACCCACCTATATTATTTATCTAAAAATATCAAATAGGACCCAACCTTAGCACAAACGGAATATGATGATGACAGACTTGAGTTAATCAAAACGTGCCTGCAAGATTCCAGAAAAAAAATTCAGTACTATAATTACATAGTCAAAATAAGATGTCATAAGGTAAAAGTAATTCATTTAGTGATTAACAGATGCAAAATTTGAATAATTCACATTTTGTCTCAGGATGAATATGATATATACTTATAAAATATATATATTATTATAAAAAATTGTAAAATACTTACGCCTTCTGCATAATGCAAGAATCGTTTATTAGTTTCCTGTTTACCAAATGTCTCCAAAAACTTTTGACGGTAAGCAAGAACAGTATCAACATGTGTTTTGTATTTTACAGCCAATTCCAGTGCCCTATAATGAGAAATAAAACGTTATTAACATAGTTTGTGTCAGACTCCATGAGTAGTAGGGTTCTGGAGTTGGGGGTAAGACAAATGGCTGTTCTCTCTGTTTATTCCGGAATATAAAATGCCATTTTCTACCTCATCCATCTTGCAAATTCCTATTTTTATACTTCAAGGCCCAGACCAAGCATGACCTCTTCTTCCTGACCAGCTCCCCTTGTAGAAATAAATGACTATTATCTTACTTATGCTCCATACCATATATATATATATATATATATATATATATATATATATTTACAGCACTGCTTATAGTACAATTGTTATGAGTCTGTTTTCTCTACTAGCCAGTACAGTTTTAAAGGGAGATATTTCTCTTTGGTGAGTACTACAGAGTACATATGTGGTAAATATTCATTGAAAATATTTTTGAGGCTTGGCACAGTGGTTCATGCCTGTAATCCCAGCACTTTGGGAGGCCAAGGTGGGAGGATCACTTGAAGCCAAGAGTTCAAGACTAGCCTGGCCAACATGGCAACACTCTGTCTCTACTAAAGATACAAACATTAGCTGGGCGTGGTGGCACATGCCTGTAATCCCAGCTACCTGGGAGGCTGAGGCAGGAGAATCGCTTGAACCCGGGAGGTGGAGGTTGCAGTGAGCTGAGATCACGCCACTGCACTCCAGCTTGAGTATGAGAGCAAGATTCTGTCTCAAAAAAAAAAAAAGAAACTACTTTTGAAATCATCCGGTAATCCTATAATTCAAGTGAATGAACCTCCCCACAATGTAAATGATCCAACTATTTTGACCATTTTCATAAGTCTATACTGAGTTTATAAAATTAAAAACTGGAATATTTAAATATTTACATTATTACTACAGCAAATTAAAAATCTTATGCAAGTAATAAATTGAGGCTAAGAAGTCTGGCAAAATGCCTTTTATCATCTGAGTCTCAGAAAAAGTTGACAGTCATTTAAGTTTTATCATTCAATCAATATTTATGCAAATTATTTTTAAAGTAATATTTTATTTAAATGGTATATGAGAACTAAATGAATTGCTTCTGAAAATGGTGGTAAAAACTAAAGATATAAAATATATGCACTGACAATAATATGCAGGAAAATAAAAAGATTAATCCTCAGTTCCAGGCTTACTTTCACAAGTGAGTTTTAGACAGCACCTCAGCCACTGTAATTCTGTGCATAACACATATTAGTTGAGTCGAGAACAATCCAGTGGATGATAGCTCTTCTATACTGTTCACTGTCATCTTGTTTCAAAACATAGATAACAGGCATTGTAATAGTCAAAAGCACATTAATTCTCAAGTTCTCTTTCTTTTTCTTTTTTTTTTTTTGAGATGGAGTTTCACTCTGTCACGCAGGCTGGAGTGCAGTGGCGTGATCTCAGCTCACTGCAACCTCTGCCTCCCAGCTTCAAGCAATTCTCCTGCTTCAGCCTCCCAAGTAGCTGGGATTACACCATGCCTGGCTAATTTTTGTATTTTTTAGTAGAGATGGGGTTTCACCATGTTGGTCAGGCTGGTCTTGGACTCCTGACCTTGTGATCCGCCTTGCCTCAGCCTCCCAAAGTGCTGGGATTACAGGCATGAGCCACCGCACCCAGCCTTGTTCTCTTGCTTTCTAATATGACATAGGACTTCTGAATATTCCAGTCAGGATTTATCTTGGCCAACTATTATAAATCTGTTGTTTTAGCAAAGCTGACTACTGATTAGATTTTTTGCAATTAGGCTCTTCAATAGGAAAATCTGGTTCATTCTTCGCATGCTTTGGTTTGCCTTACTATTTTTTTTTTAGATGGAGTCTCACCCTGTTGCCCAGGCTAGAGTGCAGTGGCATGATCTTGGCTCACTGCAACCTCCGCCACCAGGTTCAGGCAATTCTCCTGTTTCAAGCCTCCTAAGTAGGTGGGATTATAGGCATCTGCCACCACATCCAATTAATTTTTATTTTTAGTAGAGACAGGGTTTCACCATGTTGGCCAGGCTGGTCTTGAACTCCTGACCTTAAGTGATCTGCCTGCCTTGGCCTCCCAAAGTGCTGAGATTACAGGCGTGAGCCACTGTGCCTGGCCTGGTTTGCTTTACTATTGATCAAACTAAGTTAGTCACTTTAAAAAGTATTTTAGACATGGTGTATGTATTGACTGACAACTGGTAGACTTTTGAGAAAGATATTAAACATTTAATATGAAAAAATGATGAATTTAAGTTATATATAATACAAACAGTATGATTTCTTATAAATATATTGACATATACTATATTGTGAAATCCAAGGGTCAGCATTTGCTACCTATCACACACGCTCACAAAGTTCCCGACCATTCCTCTGTGGCCTTAAGTCTTCAGAGAAAAATCAGATAGGCAGAAGAGAATGTAAAGTTACTAGAATATAGAAGGGAAAAGTGGAAGATAAAGAAGGCAAAAAGCAATTTACAGAGGCTCAAAAAAGGCAAAAGGGAAGTAAAGATGCCTCGGTTCTTCTAACCCTCTCCCATACAATCCCTCCATGCGTATCTCTAAGGCTCTGATTCCAGTGGTATACATGTGAGTGGAGACTGATAAGCTACTTTTTTGTCACCTTAGAAGCTCCATCTCCCATTCTTTCTTTATGATTGTACATGATGAGGGAAGTAGATCTTGATTGTGCAAAACTAAAAGTATTCTCAATGGGGAGTACATGGAAGCATCCATTCCGGGTTGAAGCTTTTCCAAAATTACAAAAGAGATACTTTGGTATGAAACATCAATATATTTAATTATGTAAAAACAATAGAATATGATGTCTAACCCTGCATTTAGATGCTAGATACTAAGAATTATCTACCATTGTCATTATAATAAAATATGTATCGATTGAATAGCAATGGCTAAAGGTAAACATTCAAATGATATGTGCTATTTTAAATGTTCTCTAAAAGCACACACTGGGTAAAAAAATGTTTCTTCACCACATTTAGGAGGGAACTTACTCCAAATTATATAAGGATTTTGGGAACAGTATGTCTCTAGTTTTAAAATGGTTATTTGGCAACCAAACAAATATGACAGTAGATTCTAAGGCTGGAATAAATTCATGTATTTTAAGTAGAAGGAAATTATATAAAAAGATGTTATAACTTCAAAATATGATTTTTACATAACTTGAACGAAGCAAAATCACTTTGTATAACTGGTAGAAGATTAGAAATTATCATTATTAATATGCACATGAATAATCAATATGCATATCTGGAGTTTCTAGTTTCTATCTCTCTTAACTTCAGTTTTTGAGAACAGACTATCACCAAACGTCAAAGTAGATAGCAAACAGGTAACTGGCTTACCTATAACTCTTCAAGAGCTATACCTTAACAGGTTGCAGGCAATTTTCAAACTCAAATATGAAAGACAGAAGCATAAACCAGCAAGACTATGGTTCTCAAGTGGAATATCACATATGAACAAAATAAAATCTGTTCCTTTCTAGAGGATTTAAACAAATATAGAAATTCAGAAATATTAAAAGCAATCTAACGTATTTACCATCTAACAAATTCTATTCTTCTGGAATGATAGAATATCATCATTTTGTAAGCCCATAGAAATAGATTTGGGCAATGATCATCAATGGCTAACAATATCACCAAAAAAATCATGAAAAACCACCAGAGCCAATCATTACAGAAACATATAACACTACTATAATGAAGTCTTATACAAAAATAAAAATAAAACCTAATCAAGTTCCTAGATTGAACAACCAATTTGCAACTAATTCAGGGGACAGAGGACAATGTAAAGTGTACCACAAAGATGCAATCTTTGTCCAAAGATTCAATAATGTCCACACTATGGTAAATTCTATAGGCCCAGTTTCTTCAATGGGAAAATTGCAAGAAAACACACAAAAAAGAATAGGAGAAGCTATAGATTAAAATAAATTTAAGAACATATCAGTCAATCACAATGTATGGATTTACAGGATTCTGATTTAAACAAACCGTAAAACAAAGCAGAACACTTATGAGTGAAACAGAAATAAGAACACTGAATATAATCACTGTTAACTTTTTAAGGTATGACCATAATATTGTGGCTATGTTTAAAAAAATTTAGAGATACATACTGAAATATTTACAGAAAAAATGATATGATCATTGGGGTCTGCTTTAAAATAAATGGCAGGGGAAGGGTGGAAATTGTTCACAAATTGATAATTGTTGAAGTGAATATTGGGTACATTCTGATTCATTATCCTATTCTCTCTACTTTTGTGTTTGAAATTTTCCATAATAAACATTTTTTTAAAAATTCCATCTTTTTGTTCCCTTCTGATCTCTATTGCTAAATTATCTTCTTAAAGTACATCATTAAATATTGGTATTCAGCAGAGATCTGCTTGCTGCTGCTCTCTTAAGTTTTCATGATTAACCTTAGCCATACTCATGGCTTCAACTACTGTCTGTAGGCTGATAATTCCTTCACTGGCTTTCCTTCAATGTCTAGGATCTCTCCTGAGCATTACACTTGTAGATCCTACTCCCTACTGGGCCTTATGAACTGGATATAGGAAGTCAATTAAAGGTAAATAAATTCAGATTGTTAGCTTAACCATTACCTTATACTCCCTATAAAAAAATCTAGTACAGCTCTGTTCTGTACACATATTGAATGTGGGCTTTCCCTGCAGCTAAGGTACATAAACAAATTCAAGTCCTGTGCATAGGTTATATGTGAATACTATGCCATCTTGTATAAAGAACTTGAACATCCCAGATTTTGGTATCCTGAGGGTCCTTACCCATCTCATGGATACCAAGGGATTACACTCAATCATCTGTTGCATGAATGAATGTGTAGTTGGAACAAATACTCCAAACTGTTTCAGAAATATCTGTAGAAATTAGAAATGAAGATAATATATAAGTTTCCTGCAGGTTTCTTAGCAGCTATAATTACTTTTCCTTATTATTTACAGTTCTTTCTTATCCGATCTTGATATTTATGCTAAAAGCAATGGGAAACTATGAATTTCACTGAAGCAGGTTTCATTGAAGTGAATCAGAGGCAAGAGTGATATGATCAGATTTCCACTGTGAAAAGATCACTATGACTGCAGAGTAAAGAATAAGTAGGAAAGAGACAGAGTAGATATAGGGAGATCAGTGATGACGTTAAACAGAAAAACTTGGATCAACTTAGATAATGGTACTGGTAGTGAAGTGGCTGAGTGGCTTAGTGGCTGAGTGTTAGAACCATGTGAGAGGGAAATGGTTGATAATAGAGAGGCAGAAGGTGAGGAAAATGTCAAAAGTAACTTCTAGATTTCCAGCTCTGTACAACTGAAAGAATGATAATATAGACTAGTCTGGAAGAGGACCAGGTTTATGAGAAAATAAACATAAATTTGAGCTAAAAAAAAAATGTCAGATATCAAATGGAAATGCTAACTATGCAGCTGGAGAATTGATTCTGGAAACAAATATGGGTAGAACAGAAGGCTAGATGAGAGGTGCATATTTTGGAGTCTTAAGTGTATGGATAGTGTAGTGTATAGATAACTATTAGAATCTAGGAACAATGTTCTGGTATCTTTATCATCTTATCAGTTGGACTCAGAGATTCTACAAGCACCTGAGCAACCCACTGGCTTACAGTTAGATAAAAGCAAGAAACAAAGGAAAAGGAAGTGCCAGGAGATAAGAAGAATGGAGGAGCACCCAGAATTCATTCTCTTTCCTCATTACATCTTCTTTGATCCTCTTGTTTTCCCTCTCCCTGAGATCTAATAATCTCAGGGCAAGGTCACTCACTGAGAATTGGAAGGTGAAGTGGGGCATGCAGGGAACAGGATATAAAGATAGCAGGGAAAGTCTGAGGTCTCAGCAAAAAATAAGTAGAGACACATGATACACGCCTTAAGGGACTGGAGATTTTATAAGATAGGGAAATAAAGATGAGGGAAGCAAAAAGGACACCAACTCCACTGACACTGGATCCTAAGGAATGTAGAGTAGAGAGAATAAATGGACTCCATTTGAAAGGACTGGTAGAGAAGTGGTGTTCTCTGGGAAAAGGTAGGTTTCATTTGGGTCAAAGAGGTACAAGAAATGTTCAGAAGGTTATTTGATAGGCCATCAGAGGCAAATTTCCTCATCTTCTTCTGTGATATTTACTCACTGCATGTATCTACATCCAATAAATGTTTGAAGAAGAGGAATGCTGCAAAATGATGAAGAGTAAGAGCATGGATATTAACTACCTACTATGTATAGATAATGCGAAATGTTTCTGCTCTTCAGGAAGCATATAATCTACAAGGGGAAAGACTATATAACATCTGCAAAGATAAAGAGATAAATAGTAATCCAGTAAAAACAACGTAAGTGTGGCTGAACACAGTAGCTCATGCCTGCAATCCCAGTACTTTGGGAGGCCAAGGTAGGCAGATCGCTTGAGGTCAAGAGTTTGAGACTAGCCTGGCCAACATGGTGAAACCCCGTCTCTACTAAAAATACAAAAATTAGCCTGTAATCCCAGCAACTCGGGAGGCTGAAGTGAGAGAATCCCTTGAAACCAGGAGGCAGAGATTGTAGTGAGCTGAGATCATGCTGCTGCACTCCAGTCTGGGTGACAGAGTGAGACCTCGTCTCAAAAAAACAAGCCAAACCAAACCAAACCAAAAAAATATAAGCAATGGTACCAGCTGTAGATAATTGATTGCTTGGTGATAAATTGAGCTCTTCTTTGGTTTTACACAACTTGAGGGTTCAAATACTAGATTTTGTGCGTACTTATAAGTAAACCTCGATTTCCTCGTTTATAAAATGGGGCTGGTAATATCTAAACTTCTAGAGCTGAGACAACCTAATGAAATAATATATAGGAAGTATTTAGCACAATTAATTCCTGGCACATCATAACCACTCAATAAGTGGAGGCTAGTGTGAAGAAGTATTATTTCAACCTTTGTATGTTCCCATTAAACATTAGTAAGTGGGTCATTTTTGATTCTTTAGATGGAAGCTTTTTTTATAGAACTGATGTACTGAATCCTATCAATCTAAAAAAAGGAATGCTGCAAAATGATTATTAATGATCACGAAGCAGTTAATTACATACTTCTGGTACCACTGTTCATACTGTTTTTTACTGGATTACTGTTTATGTCTCTAATTATTTATCTTTGTACATATTTATCTCTCCCCCTTACAGATTACATGCTTCCTGAAGAGCAGAAACATTTTACATTATCTATACATAGTAGGTGGCTAATATTCATTCTATGTGCAATACTCTTCATCTTTTTGACGTTTGACTATTATTAATGACAATAAAGTGGAATTAATTCCTAATTAGGTTATAAGCTTTTTAAGAAAAAGACCATTATCTTAAATTTTTTTGTTAAATTGTACAGTATTCAGAATGCTATATGAAAAGTAGTGTCTACAATTTCAACATATTTTTTCAAAAACACCAGTCAAAAGAATGCTATAAACACAATTCTTCCCTATTTCTCATAGAACTCTGTTAGCTTGGTAATGATATATACAATTTTCTATAAGTTACTTAACATAGAATTTAAAAAATATTCACACTCTCTAAACTAGTTACCTTAAACTTTATGAATTATGAATAAATTCAGGACAAAGACAATGGCCTATTTATTTATCTATTTTTGAGACAGAGTCTTGCTCTGTCACCCAGGCTGGAGTGCACTGGCGTGATCTCGGCTCAGTGCAACCTGTGCCTCCTGAGTTCAGGCAATTCTCCTGCCTCAGCCTCTTGAGTAGCTAGGATTACAGGCGTGTGCCACCATGCCCGGCTAATTTTTCTGTATTTTTAGTAGAGACGAGGTTTCACCATATTGGCTAGGCTGGTCTTGAACTCTTGTGATCCGCCCACCACAGCCTCCCAAAGTGCTGGATTACAGGCATGAGCCACTGCGCCTGGTGGCCTATTTATTTTTATAGAATTAAAAACACCTTTCATGATCCTTTGTACAGCTAGACAATGACAATGAATTTTTGTTAATAAAGGACAGAAACAGAGTAGCTAAATTATATGAATAGTATAGATCATTAGGTATAAATTAAATAAGGAGACTACAGTATGTCAATCATAAAATTAACCATCTGCCATTTTTGTCATTTCTAGTCAAGGGAAAGATAGAGATAAAATATCTATAAAAATTCAAATCTAAGGAAGTTTAAGTAAAGGGCCTTGTAATTGACAAACACAGGGGTTATTTTTCAGCCCAGGAGAAACAAAGATCATGAAAGACATTTCAAACCTGGAAAAGTATGTCAATTTCATAACATAGTAACTTCAAGAGCATATAAAAACTATAAGAGCAATAAAAACTATAGTTTTGCTCACTGAGTGACATGTACCTGAGAGAATGAGTGGGAGGAACCTCTTTATGTCACAGAGAAGAGCAACCTGCCACTTTGCCTCAGAAAGCAATCTGTCCCAGAGCCTAATGTAGGGCTGTTGATTGCTGCTGACCAATCCTTTCCTGTTTCTTCCTTAGCACTACGCATCTCTTGGTTCTTCTTTTTGCTGCCTGTCTAGCTGCTTAATGGAATAACATTTTGTGTGTTTTCTTTCATCCATCTCATAATGTAGAGGATGTCTTTCCATTCCACACATTCCCAAGGCAATTGCATCCATTCCTCTGACTTCAACTACTAACCATTTGTGAATGACTTCTAAATCTAAACCTGTAGTTCAGATCTTTCTTATGAGTCCAGGTCCATTTAATCAACTATTATATCTCTTTGCAAGTATTTCACAGTAAACTTGGCTAAAATGAAATTCACTGTCTTCCCTACCAAATCTGCAAATGGTGTCATGATCTCTCCAGTTACTGAAACAAAAATGTGGGAAACATCCTAGCTTCTCTTCTTCTTCACACCCCAACTTTTAATCAGTTACAAGTTCAGAAAAGAAATAAACCATAAACTATTCACAAATATAAATATGATAAATTATTCTGTGAGTTAAAAAACTAAAATATAATGGAAAATGTAATTAAGTGGTAGGTGGAAAAATACATTAAGGTCAAACAGATTTTGGAACTGATGGAAAGTATTCTTATTACCTTTCCCAGTTGTAGAGATTAATATTGATCTGGATTGCTTGATAAACAAGGCCAGCCTGAAGAAGAACTATTTCAGCCTCCTGTATGTTCCCACTAAACAGCAGTATGTGGGCCATTTTTGATTCTTTAGATGGAAGATTTTTTATAGAATTGATGTACTGAACCTTATCAATCTAAAAAAAGAAAAGAAAAATATTGAAGTAGATAATAACAGAAATAAATTATGCTAAGAAAAAACACACATACATATATGTAAACATTAATTACTTACTTCACCAATTGCTGCATAGGCTATTTCTGCAGTAGTCATATCTCGATTAGCAACTGCCATAGCAGCTAGACAAGCCCACATGGTTTGCTCCTAAAGTCAAGTATGAGAACAGTCATCTTAACTACATGGCTGAACTGCCTTAAAATAAGGATCATTTAAATACTCACATTAAAATTATATTTTAATTTAAAAAAGAAAAATTACTGAACACAGCACTGAAAAATAATAATGTAGAAATTTCATTGTGGCCATTTTGTTAAAATATATTAATAACAGAAAATTTTTGAATGAAATTTTCAATTTCAAGTTATGATGAATTTATTTCTGAATTAAAAATAACTCAAGGTTATAAACCTTCCAGTCTTTTGATGAAGTGTCAAAGAATGTAATATATAGGGAACCAAAGAAATAGTGAAGTTCTCAGACAATGCTATAGTGGGGGTACAGAGGTCCTAGATAAGGTTTTCCTTTTAATGAAAAGCAGCCCCCAAATCATTTTCTTTTCTAATAAAGAGCAGCCTGTAAAATTGAGCTGCAGACATAAGCAAGCTGGAAGCTTGCATGGGTGAATGCCAATAGTTGTGCCCATAGCAATATACTACCTGGGACTAGGCATGTTCAAAATGGCAGCTCCAGCTTCTCTTTTTGCCACACGTGTACAGTAAGGAGTAGACAAGATGGCACTGGCCAATTGGAAAGTCCATCTGCATAATAAGATTAGGGTGGGGTGACCAGCCTTCCCTGTGCTATGTAAATGTCACACCTGGTCAAACCAATCTGTGAGCACTACATAAATCAAACACAGCCTCCTCAAACCTGCCTGCCTATAAAATCTGCTGCAGTCTGCCACTTTTCCCTTTTTGGCTGCCTCTCTCTGGCAAGAGTTGCTCTCCTCTCTCCTTTCTTCTGCCAATTAAACTTTCCACTTTTTAACCTACCCACATGTCCATGTCCTTAATTTTCTTGGACTCTGGGTATTCACCCCAGACAATGATGCTGCTTTTCCACCAATGATCCATTGTTTAAAAAAAAAAAGCATCTGAAAGTCATTTCACAAAAGCATTTTCTAAGGAATGTTCACTGATATTCATTAAAAAAGTCTATGGTTAAACATGTTTGAAAAATACTAGATTCAACCAAGTTGGAAAAAGGCTGATTGAAAGCAGAGATTCTTAACCTTAGCTGTATAAAACAATTATCTGAGGAAATAAAAAATATGCCCAGGACTCAATCCAGACATAATGAATTAGAATCTTTACTTATAAAACAAAAGACATGATCTTATTCACAATTTTTCCAGCCTCTAAGCCTATTATCAATACTCATTTTGCACAAAGGTAAACTACTATGCAATATATATGCAACTATGAATCTAAAATGTAAATTACCTTAACAAAGCGACAAAGTCTTACAGCATCTTCCCATTTTGAACTGCTTACATATTCATGGAGAATAGCAGGATATGGTGATATGCTGATGTGAACCAGGGAGCCATCAGCTCTTCTAATAGTTACTTGATTTCCAACAAAACTCATAATGTGGGGATTTTTACTAAATTCACTGTAAAAAAAAAAAAAAAAAAAAGCAAAGTACACTTTAAAGTTGTATTCTGAGCAAAATTTTTCATGTATATTAAATCTGGGGAGTAGACTGGGAAACATATATGGAGTCTCCAATTTCCAAAGGCACACCCCCAGAAGGTAACTCCAGGGAGAATGTATATATTCAAATAAATACATTGAAATTTATTTGAATATATACATTCTCCCTGGAATTAACTGTGAATATAAACATTTGAATATAACTTGCTATATACAGTTTAAATTGGCAAAAATTATTACATATTTGAGAGCTATTCCTAAGAGCATTTGAAGTCATCTTTTTTTTCCCTGAGGCTTAAGACAAATGGCAACAATAATTAATATAGCTTTAGTATTTAAAACTATTAAAGGGTAAGCTGATAAAAAAATAAACTTAATTCCAAGACTGTTTTCTTAGAATAAAAAGAGGTGAGCCAGGTGCAGTGGCTCATACCTGCAGCCCTAACTATTTGGGAAGATCACTTAAGCCCAGACTGCAGTGAGCCATGATTGCACCACTGCATTCCAGCCGACAGAGTGAGATCTTGACTCTAAAACTAAATAAATAAAAAGAGATGACCTTCAAATAAAGAGACTAATTTCTTTTCATTAGTTCAAATACTTTTTAAAATATACTGTTTTATTTTGATGCTTCTCTGGTTTTGTTAAGGTTGTGAGCTTGAATACTAAAAATGAACTCAAAATAGATTTGAAAACTACGTTAAGGTCTAGAATTAAGAAGTCTTTGTATGCCTATTTTGTCAAGAATAAGAGATCTCCTTGCCATTTCTTAGAGAATTTAGGAATACAAATGATTTTCTGAAGCATATTTTTTAAAAATTTCAGTAACTTTGGTCTTTTCCTACTTTTAATATTAACCAAAAATTCAATTCTAGAGACATACACATTCTTCAAAGTGTTAAAGTCAATGATAATATGTGACAGAATTGGGTAATTGTCACAAGTTCGTGCATCCTGAAAAATCTTAACAGTGCCTATATTAAAATCACTTGATCACATTGAGAAAACTACTTGAGCTACCATTACACCATACTGAGCTTGAAAATTATATTCATATAAGGGAAAAATATATAATTCATATCATACAACACTATCAATTCTGTCACTTAAGTCTCAAGCTAGCTTTAGCTGAACAATTTGTTCATCAATAATCTGACTGATGTGAAAACTACCTTGCAGGATTGAAAACAGAAGCAAAACATGATACTCTATTAGAGTTTTATTTACTACAATACAGAATTATATGCAGTAAAATGTTACCTTGCATCCCTTTCATATAATGTTTTAGGCAAAATGTCTCTGTCCACATAAACTGTATTGGGGTAATACCACACTATAAATCGAGTATCTTGAAGTCCACAAAGGATATTGCATGTATCATTCCATGCCAAGGTATGCACCATTGTTCCTTAATTTAAAAAGAATGTTAATATGCTATTAGTTTTAATATGTAAGTATTAAAATATATCTTTAAAATGCCTGACAAAATCCCATATAATTTCTGGTAGATATGATTCTAGTTTCTGATTGTATAGTGGTGAAAAAACATACAAAAAAATCACACAAGAATTTACAGAAATATTTGAATGCTTTACCTAGAACCCTTATATTTTTAATTTGCAAATTTTTCTTTCAGTGACAATTTAACTGCAGCAGCTAAAGACTTGCTATTAAGATAAGTTAATCCTCTTGCCTCAGACCATCAAGTTCCAGATGATCCTCAGTGAGGGATACTGTCCTCTCAATATTCAAGAGTCACTCTTCTACAGGGGACCCCTAGTCTGCCCATCAGTGGAACATGACAGAGGTGTACTCCTGCCCTTCTCTCCCTTGGACCTGGCTGGATACTGCTTTCACCAATCCATGGAGCCACCCTGCCCTGAGAGCTGGCAGAAGGCTAAGACCCACAGAACAACCACCACTGCCTCTCTGTCAGCAGGAAGCAGTTACAGAAGACTGACCTTTCTCCATTTTTACCATAGAATTAGGGTCTTGGACCTTGAGGCGGGGAAGCATTACAGTAGGTAGTCAGGCAGACTTTAGGAAGGCAGGAGAGGCCCCCCGCCTCTAGCACCAGGAATGTCAGGTAACCATCAGGTGATGGTCAGGTAGTTGTTAAGCTGTCTCTCTAAAATAATAATTGGTTACAGCCAGTACTAGGGAAAGGCAGTCTCTCAATAGAAACACTGAAACTAGAAATTAGTTCAATACGATCTCAAGAGCTAGGTGAGTAGGCTCACACATGTGCACTAACAGGCAAAACGGTGGAGTTTAACTGGTATATGAACTTCGTTAGAAACACTGGAGTGGTAAGGAAAAAAAACGCCTCAAGTGAGCATGTGTACAACTTCAGTAAACACACTGTGCATGTGGCCCCTCCCAGATGCTGGCAGGCCACCGTGCATGTGGACAGCCCACCCCAAGGGAAGAATTAGGGCAGAAGGGTTGCAACTCCCCAGAAGCATGCCAAAGTATAAAACCACAAATCAAAAGGTCAAACAGTGCACTTGATCTCTCAAATCACCTGCCTGCCCTCTTGTGAGTTTACTTTATTTCCATTCTTTCCTGCTCTAAAGCTTTTTAATAGATCGGACACCTGTAATCCCAACACTAAGAGACTGAGGCAGGTGGATGGCTTGAGCTCAGAAGTTTGAGACCAGCCTGGGCAACATGGTGAAACCCTGTCTCTACCAAAAATACAAACAAATTAGCTGGATGTGGTATCATGTGCCTGTAGTCCTAGCTACTTGGGAGGCTGAGGCAGGAGAATCACTTGAGCCCAGGAGGTGGAGGTACAGTGAGCCTTGATCGCACCATTGCACTCCAGCATGGGTTAGAGTGAGACCCTGTCTCAAATAAAATAAACTTAAAATAAAAAATAAAAAATAAAGCTTTTGAATAAACTTTCACTCCTGCTGTTAAAAAAAAGTAGCTAAGATTAAAACATTAAAACATTTCCAGATTCATTTGGACAAATTCTTTATTACAGCAAATATAAGAAAGTAGACAACTAAAACTTAAAATGAATAAAAATTATTTTACCAAGTTTGATAATTTGTTCTTCCTTCCCAAATCGTTTCACAGAAGTGATACAGAGATCTCTATTTTTATCAATGAAAGCAATTTTTCTATCATTGGTAAGTCCTTTTTGATCCAGAGCAATTTCCAAGATTTCAATCTAAATTTTTTAAAAATGTAAATACTGGGTTAGTTTTAGTGTTTGATATAAGATAATTTTAATTATTTAATTATAAGAACATTTTCTAAGATCAATTAAATGTCATTTACCCACTTACAATGATAAAATGTCCCTGTTAAATAATTTTAAACTGCCAATATATTAATTATTCAAAAGCTGCACTAAAGTATATTTGCGTGACATCCAAGGAAAAGATACCTCTCAAAATACAATAAAATAATATATATTTTGATGCTCTGTTGGCTGAGAAACACTCCTATCTGTCCTGTCCTTCCTCTCACAGTCAGGGTGAAAGGGGCAGGTAAGTCTGAGTATGACAAGAGGTCTATTTTGATTAACAAGTTGCCTAATAACTATATCTTAAATACTTGTAAAAATAAATTTTGGAAATATGTGGAAATATATCATGTGTCCAGAGCCTTGTATTTTACAGATTCTCTCACATTCATTCTTGCAAAACAGAAAAGTCTTGAAATATAGATATTATAATACTTACTTTGCAAATCAGAAGACTAGATTTATACTCAATAAGTGATTTTGCTCAGAAAAAGCCAGTATCAAGTTTATCTAAACTTGCAACTCAGACTTCTAACTCCAAGATCACTGGTTTTCATTTGCTAGTATGATGAATTTTATTAAAACTGGAAAATGTTTTAATACAGATTCATTTTAACTCAAACCAAGAAAGATTTATTTACTGTCTACAATGTCTGAAGACTTTGCTAGGAACTGTGAATTAAACAAGAATCATGACCACAACATCAAATCATTGTATCAAAATGTAGTATAAGAAACATTGTTTAAAATAAAACAAAATACACATGTAACTTTATCCAAAATGATGAATCAATCATATACCAATACAAAATACATTTTTAAAAATTCAACTTTTTCTAGAATACCATAATTTATATTTTAAGGAAGAAAATAATTTTGTTTCATATATATTAAGGCATACATGAAATATAACACTAGGTATTTTCAAAATGGAAATGTTTCAGAGAAGCTGATCTTTACAATAAAGAATTGCTTATCATTGTCATCATCCTCAGAACCTAGTGTATTATTTTAAAAACACTGTTAAACAGATATAATTCTTCTGTCTAAGGAATTAAAAATCAAAGATGTATAGTAATTATAATAATGCCTATGTACGTAGGGGAAGAGGGGTTCTCCAACTTCATTCAGCAGGGCATCCCCCATTTTCCTCTTGTCAAGTCCATCTCCCCCCATATGTTCTATTCCTCTTGGGTGACTCTGTAGTGGGACATAAAAGCAGTTCTGTGTTCAGTAGAACTGTCTCCCTTGCCCTATACTAATTAATATTTATTTACTGATACACAGACTTGAGCTCTAGTTTGGGTTCTGTTACTATTTGGGAAGATTCTGGATATGAGTTTCTTCCAGATACAAAATAAAATAGTTTGAGTGAGTTTTCTATTACTTCATAGAATGTAAAATTTAAAAATCCTTTGTATTGCATACCAATGTACTGGGTAATTGGGTGAAGTGTGACAAGTAGAAGTCACTTCCATTATTATAATTAGGAAATGGTAAATTATCTAGTAAATTCTTACACTTAGGAAAAGTGTTACAGAGAGCATTATAACAAAATAAATATTTAACCCTACTAATTGACTCTTTTTTCAATCCTACTAACAAAAATAACTGCATCTTGAAAAGCTGAGAAATTTAATCCTTTTGATATGCTTAATCTTACTGAAGAGGAAAATCTCTGCTTACATAGTCTTGATTTAAAATGACGATAATGGAGAGGTTGTAGTGAAATAGGCACCTCAGATATTACCAGCGCAAAGGTAAACTGATACAATCTCTTTGAAAGATAACTTCAAAATATTTATTAAAATTACAAATTCTCATATCCTTTGACGCAGCAACAATATTTCCAGAATAAATCCCACAGTTATACTAGCACACGTAAAAGAAGATGTATATGCAAGATAATTCATCTTGCCAATACTGTAATATTCATAGCAAAAGGTTGGAAACAATTTAAATTCTGACACATCCATAAAATGTTATACCATACAGTGGAGAAAAAAGGGTTGAGAAAACACTTTAGGTATAGATATGGAACCATCTCCAGAAAGAGAGTATTATATGAAAAAAGCAAAGTGGTGTAGAATTGTGTTACATTTTTGTAAAAGAGGAGGAAGATAACGTATATCAGTTTTGTTGGTACATACCCTAACAATCTCTGGAAGAATATATGAGATTAATAACAATGGTTACTTATTTGGTGAAGAGGCACTATAGTGATGAATAATTGGTATAGTAGGGAGACTGCCACTGTATACTTTTTAATGCTTTTTGATTTCTGAACCATATGAATGTATTTGTTATTCATATTTAAAACTAGGGCCAGGTGTGGTGACTCATGTCTGTAATCCTAGCACTTTGGGGAGCTGAGGCAGGTGGATTGCTTGAGTTCAGGAGTTCGAGACTAGCCTGGGCAATATGGCAAAACCCTGTCTCTACCAAAAACAAACAAACAAATAAAAAACTAATAATTACAAAGATATATATATATATGATTTTGAGTAACATTTCACTAGAAGTATTAATAAAACAAAAGCATCTTTAGACTCTAATATATCAGTAATTTAGAAGGATAACTCAATGCAATGTGCTTCTTTAAGGCTAAAAATCAGAAACCAATAAACAACTTACAATTCAGGGTCTTTTGTACTTGTATAGGATTTCTTACTACAGTCTTAAAACCTAAAGAAAATGCTGGCTAAGAACAGGTCAATGAGAAAACTGCAAGATATTCAGAAACACAAATACATTTTTATTTACTGATAAGTGCTAACATTTTAATCAAAATAGAACACGTAACTGAAAAACAGTGAAGAGCTTGACAATAGACATATAAGTCAGATCCTTTTATTCAATTAATTTGCATATATAGACTAAGGTCTTTGTAACATTTTTAGGCAGAATAGTCAATAGAGAATGCAGAGTGATTTTAAATATAAAACTAATTCCTTTGTGTCCTCTTTAAATTGAAAACGTTAATTTTAAAAAGGAAGTAAATAAATAGTGGCTATTTACAAGTAGTTAATGTCCATTACCTTATGAGAAAGAAACTTCCCATCACCTAATGGTTTTCCAGTTGACGCCTCAAAGAGGAAGATTACTTGAAAAAAAGTAGAACATGAATTAATGTGTCATATTAAAATTTTTACTGGTAAAGTTCGGCGAAACTATTATAATACTTATCAGAAATTATTTAACTCTCTAGACCACAGAGAGTTAAATAATTCAGCGCAGAAGAGCAGCAGCATCCAATTTTAATTTATTAATGTGGTCATATTTCTTATGAAAACAATAAAACTGAATACTTCTTCCTAAAACACATTCCTTAATTAGAATTTTTATTAATGGCATGGCATCAATGCTCCATAGGCTCAACAATGGCAAGTCCAAATGTGAAAGTAATTTATAATTCTGATAACTTTGATTTAAACCACTGTAACACCATAGTATATGCGCCAAAGAAAAACTTCCTCTTTGTCCTTTGGAGGTTAGCTGAAAACCAACTCACAAAAGGCAGATTAATAGGATAAATGGCATACATATTTATTAACTTACATGAGGGAGAATCAGAGTGATTACCCTACCATACAATGGGGTGCAGATGGTTAAAAGCCCCTTCTTCCCCTCTTAAGGGAAATGGAGATGGGGAATGTGGATGATTTTAGAAGGGGTAGTAAATGATTTCTAGGGGAATTCAGTGGGCAGGAAGAACATACAAAGTCTGTTGGGCACACAAGAGCACACAACAGTTTCTGACAAATGTCTGCCCAGGTGTGTTGACAATCTTCTGTATTTCTTCCTGCAATATGAGTTTTGTTAATGAAAACTCAGGGAAGGGACCAGAGGTAATTTTTTTCTTCTTTGGTGGTCCGAAGTTGAGGCAGATAAGGGAACTTCAGCACAGCATGTCAAAGAACCATATTTTGGGGTATTGGTTTCTAAGCCCCAGCAATAGACAACCATATTCCACAAAGGAAAAACATGTTGAATGCCTATTATAATGCCAGGCAACGTGTTATGTGCCGCTTAGTTTTCTGTTATTAATATGTTACTCTGGTATAATCAATAATTTACCTGGTCTCTGTCCTGGAGCTTCAAAACCCCTTAAAAATTCCTGATTAGAGCATCTTTATTATTGCTAGTGAAGAGACTCTTGGTGGGCACCCAGATAGCTTCAGGATAGGGGCTGATAATCAGACCAAGTATGTCGTTTGATGGTCTGAACTTTCAGGTTCCCAGTCTCTGGAGATGGGAAGCAGGCTGGAGACAGTTCATCAGGTGGCCAGTGACTTAATTAATCATGCCAATATAACAAAACCCCATAAAAATTCTGAATGCCAAAGCTCAGTGGAGCTTCCTGGTTAGTGAACACAGTGATGAACTGGGAAGGTGATGTGTCCTGAGAAGAGAGGACACAGAAACTCTGTGTCCATCCTTTATAATAAAACTGTAATAATAAGTATAGCTTTCCTGAGTTCTGTGAGTCATTTTAGTGAATTATCAAACTTGAAGGAGTTGTAGGAATCCCTGACTTTGCAGCTAGTTTGGTCAGAAAAGTAGGCAGCTACAGTGGGGTTGGGGGAGTCTTAGATTTGTAGTTAGCATCTGGAGTAGGGGCAGTCTTAAGCTTTGGTGTCTGCACTGGTTCCAGCTAGTGTAGAAATGAAATGCAGTAAACCTAGTTGAGATGAAAATGGAATAGTTGGTATTAGGTTATTGAAGCATATGGTTTGGAAAGAGAAAGGATGAAAGGGTAGAGGGTGAAGAACTTCTGATTCCTCAGTGGCCATGGGGTCACCCATGGTATGAAACACCAGCTATGTTGCAATCAGTTATTGGAGGTAAAAGTCACCCATGGAATTTAAGATGATGCATACATCTTCTGGGGAACTGGCTCACTAAATGCATAGGAAAATACAAAATCATAAGAAAAAAGAGAAATACACAATCTCTTGATTATTGCTATCTCTAATAGCTAAAAATGAAAGGAAGAGATTTACCAAATATAAATTCTGGCCAGTCTAAATTATGGCCTCTAGCCTCAAGGCCCCTACTGAAGGAATGAATGTGTTGGGAAAGATACTGATTCTTGCCAGTTCAAGGAACAGGCACTAGCCTCAGAGTCATTTTCAAAGTTTTGAAAAAGTTACGCTGAAATAAATCTTGAAAAAGGCTAAAATAATTCCTAAGAGAACGGAGATAGAAAGAGGGAAATGTCTAGAAATTCACCAAAACTGGGAAAAAAATCTTTAAACAGTTATTAAGAAATAGAGCAAACAAAACTATAAAAACTCAACCTAGGCAATACCATTCTGAACATGGGAACAAGAAAAGATTTCATGACAAAGATGCCAAAAGCAATCTCAACAAAAGTAAAAATTGACAAATGGAATCTAATTAAACTCAAGACCTTCGTCACAGCAAAAGAGACTATCAACAGAGTAAATAGACAACCTAGAGAATAGGAGAAAATTTCTGCAAACCGTACATCTGACAAAAGTCAAATATCTAGCATCTGCAAGGAACTTAAATTTACAAGAAAAAAGACATTAAAAAGTAGGCAAAGGACATGAAAAGACACTTAAAGGAAGACATACATGCGGCCAACAAGCATGTGCATAAAAGCACAATATTGATTATCATTAGAAAAATACAAATCAAAACCACAATGAGATACCATCTCACACCAGTCAGAATGGCTATTAGTAAAAAGTCAAAAAATAACAGATGCTGGTAAGTTGTGGAGAAAAAGGAATGGTTTTACACTGTTGGTGGGAGTGTAAATTAGTTCAATCATTGTGGCGAGGAGGGTGGCAATGCCTCAAACAGCTAAAAACAGAACTACCATTCAACCCAGCAATCCCATTACTGGGTATATACCCAAAGGAATAGAAATCATTCTACCATAAAGACACATGCATGTGAATGTGCACTGCAACACCTATTCACAATGGCAAATACATGGAGTCAACCTAAATGCCCATCGGTGACAGACTGGATAAAGAAAATGTTGTACATATACAGCATGGAATACTATACAGCCATAAAAAAGAATGAGATCATGTCCTCTGTGGGAATGTAGATGGAACTGGAGGCCATTATCCTTAGCAAACTAATGCAGAAACAGAAAACCAAATATCACATGTTCTCACTTATAAGTGAGAGCTAAATGATGAGAACTCATGGACACAAAAGAGGGAAACAGAGACTGGGGCCTTGAGGGTTAAGAGTGGGAGGATGGAGCAAATCAGAAAAAGTAATTATTAGGTACTAGGCTTAGTAACTAGGTGATGAAATAATCTGTACAACAAACCCATATGACACAAATTTACCTATGTAACAAACCTGCACATGTACCCTGAGCCTAAAACAAAAGTTTTTGTTTTTTTTAAAGAAATGGAGTGAAAAAGCAAACAATGATGGGGGTAAAATGAAAGAGAAAGAGAGAAGGGAGAGTCAAGGGATTTATCATAGTAGGGTGGAAGTCTGGGGTCAAAACACAGCAGCTGGGCGGACTGATGCGGGGGTTCCTGCTAGTGTCCCAACATTTAAGAACACTAAGTAAATCTGCTTTATTCATGTTAGTTTGGAAGAATTTGGAAGGCAGAAAGGCAAAGATGGCAACAAGAAACTTGACCTTCAATTACCTGGAGCAACAGTCCACCAATTTAATCAAGAAAAAGACTCAGGAAAAGGCCTGAATTCCTTGGCTCAGTTATGAGCTGGGGACCCAACACTTTAAGCACATGAATGGGCAAAATGATCGGGGGTAGAGAGGAGAAGACTTGAGGACACCTTGACACAAAAGTGCCATGTACTTTGGTCCAAAACCCCCTGGTGATGCCCTAAAGAAGACTACAATTAAATTGAGAGTACAGAAGTGCAAGCATTGATAGAATTAAGGTGAAAGTTTGAATGAAAACTGGAGAGTTTAAACAGACTTTATGTGAAGAGCCTGCGTCTCCTTTACTTGAATGTTTCATGGGAATAGATATTATGTCTGACTGGAACACTTCCCCTACCTACTACTGAAAGTCCCAATGGGGCTAGGTGTGGTGGCTCACATCTGTAATCCCAGCACTTTGGGAGGCCAAGGTGGATGGATTACTTGAGGTTAGGAGTTTGAGAACAGCCTGCCCAACATGGTGAAGCCCCTTCTCTCCTAAAAATACAAAAAATTAGCTGATGGTGCACGCCTGTAATCCTAGCTACTCGGGAGGCTGAAGCAGGAGAATCACTTGAACCTGGGAGGTGGAGATTGCAGTGAGCCAAGGTTGTGCCACTGCACTCCAGCCTGCAACAGAGTGAGACTCTGTCTCCAAAAAAAAAAAAAGAAAAAGAAAAGAAAAGTCCTAACGGGAATCACAACCAGATTGAGAGGATACAGAAATGCAAGACTTAATGAAATTAAGGCAAAAGTTTGTATGAAAATTGGTAGTTTAAACAAGCTTTGTGTTTTTTTTGTTTTTTTTTTTAAGAAGAAATTTTTGCTCTTGTTGACCAGGCTGGAGTGCAGTGGCACAATTTTGGCTCACTGCAACTTCTGCCTCCTGGGTTCAAGCAATTCTCCTGCCTCACCTTCCTGAGTAGCCGGCTAATTTTTTTGTATTTTCAGTAGAGATAGGGTTTTGCCACGTTGGCCAGGCTGATCTCATTCCTGACCTCAGGTGATCCACCTGCCTCAGCTTCTCAAAGTATTGGGATTACAGGCGTGAGCCACCACGCCTAGCCCTAAACAAGCTTTATGTTAAGTAGTTGTATCTCATTTACCAGGATGTATTATGGGGACTGATATTATGTCTGGTTGGAGAGCGTTTCCTCTAACAAGTAATATGAAACAGAAGGCATGTAAACCCACCCTTTAAGCAATATTAATTGGGAATACAAAACAGGAATAAATAAGATTACTCAAATTCACACAGGCCTTTAATATCAATCAGTATATGAACTAGTATGGATGAATTCTTTATACAATAACCCTGGGTGGAATGCAGATTGGAACTTAAAGGGGAAAGCCTATGAGCACCTCTCAGTGAAAATTACTGGGACTTTGGACTAGATAATTCCCATCTGAGAAGCAATTACTAGCTTGCTCTCTGA